GATCAAACCGATTGGTCTCTGTTGCTACAGAATGGATGTACTATATACGTGTGGAATGCACAGTACAGTCCATCAGTGAAAGGACTCTATTAGCAATGATTTCTAGAAGTACAACTTCTTTGGTTACCACAAAAGAGTATGGAACATGGATGATTTACTTTTGGTCACACTGCAGTGCGAGGGTTTAAGATTAAACGTCATATGTTCTTGCATAAATACATGGTAGTGAAATGACCTAAAGGTAAAAAAGCAGCAGACTTTGGGATTCTAGATTTTTTTCCCTTGATGCAGTGCTCAACTGGATATAGTTTACACATGCTGTGTCTCTTTTAAACTTCAGCTGTTAACAATAAACGCCAACTTTCCATAGCCTCTTTTAATATATCCAAATGAAGGTAGAATCATCATGATGGTACAATACAAATTGAGTGTATTTAATTGAATAGTATCTACTTAGTCCTAAATGCTTTTGTGACAAAGGACTGATGATATTGTTTGAAAAATCAAGAGAATTTATAATATAAACATATTGTGAATGAACTACAATGATATTTTTAAAGTCTATTTTTATATGGCAACAAAACTTGAAAAGCAATAATTTTCAATACACTACCAGTTAGTAAAATCATGTCATAGTTCTAATAGTCTGATTTATTCCCTAAAACTTTTTTTAAATAGTAAATAGTGTTTTACATGGCACAGTGTTTATTAAAATTAGTTCAAAATTTGGCGTATTTTTCTCTATATCTGAACATCAACGTTTGAAGAAGCTGTTGAGATAAATCAAATGGTGACATTTTGACGGCTTTACTTGTATAAGCAATATGGTTACCATATGGCATTGTTATTTATGAATGACAGCATAAATTGTATTACAAAGTCTATCGCAATAATAGTGCAGTTTATTGGAAAGCTGCTCTGCTGTCACTAGCATTTATAAGGCAACCTCCATATGAAAAAGGTATGTCAGTCAAATTACATATTCATGTTTAACATCTTGCTTTTAGTGTTTTCGGTGTTTTTATTTTTACGGTTATAAAAATACTCCTAGTCTGGTAGGGAATTCAGAGTGCCTCCTGTGACAACATAAATCTGCAGTGTGATGCAGTAGCACAATAACAACTGTAAAAATACTGTCCAAGTATTCGCTGTTACTTGGCCGATTCTTCATCCCTTAAAAAAATCCACTGTACTCTGCATCACTAAATCACTGGCAAATTCATTTTTATATAGGAACTTTTTATAAGTACAACTGAGAGAACAATAAATTTTAATGGTATGAAAGAGAGGTGCTCCTTTGTAGGCTCCCTATACATTGTAGCGGGTTTTAAGAAATGGCATTTAAAAGTTACAACTTTGGCTGAGATTTTCATTATTTCCCTTTTCTTTTACATTACACTTCTATTAAACTCTGACAAAGAACTTTTGTTCCAAAGTGTGTTTTACAGAGGGAGGCTACAACACAACACATGTGGTCTTCACGGGTCATAGGTCGAACGGCCTAGAAGTGGCTAAGATCGGCAAAATCAAAGGTAACCTGCAACTTAATATCCTGTTGATGATCTTGTTGAATTTATGAGTGTCTGTGATACAGACAACGGTGCAAGTGATTCTGTTAAATTGCTCTGTTCTTTTCAGGTTAAACAGAGCATCATCCCCCTCTCTACGCTCCTTCTCTTCCCTCCATAAGGAAACAAAGCTTGGATTTTGTACTGAATGGTGCGCATCTTATCTCTACTTTAAATCTTTAATTTCATTTTTCTTAACCCTAATATATATGCATTTAAATAGACGGTGCAGGCACGCCTTGAAATTCATCTTCACACAACCATACATTCTATGCACATGTCCATATCAACTTTTATAATACAACTAGTCGACAGTTCCCAATGTAAACAACAATCTAGTGGGGGGGGGAGGGAATCTAGCGGAGTTTAATTCTAAAATACTCAACTGTCCTCTCGAACGTTGATTCCTAGGAAGAGGAAGATTATAAAAGACGAAGACAATACCGAAGTTAGGAAAAATCCCTTGCTATCACACCCTATCTGCATAAGCAATCGGTAATAGTAAGAGCAATGTAGTTTTAAAGAGAAATACGTAAAACTTACAAACAGGGAAATGTGAAGCGGCTGTTTGTTCTGCGGGTCTGACACCACTGCACTGCGGTCACCTCCACAAGCCTGTTGAAAAACTTATTTCACTGAAACAGTTTAGAAGGGAGTTTGACTGGCCGCTGTCTTCCCTCTAAAGAATGAGCTTAAGTCTGCATTTCTGGCAATGGCCCTGAAAGCGATTGCAGGTTTTTTTTCCCTCTCTCTGTCTTTTTCCCTTTTCACCCTGTGACATGGGGGAAAGAGGTTTTGCGGTTCGTAGAGAAATAAAGCACTTCTTAGAGGGGACGGCGACATGACTTTGAACTTGGATCAGCTCCTCTGTTTCCTGCAGAGAGAGTAGAACTGGAGCCCTGAAAGAATAGCAAAGAGAGTCCAGCCTGCGGGGTCTCCGGCTGGAATTAACGAATTCTCCCCAAACTGTCCCAATGCCGCCGCCTGAAGCCACAGAGCCAGCATACAGCAGCAGGGTGATCTGGAAATGGGAAAGAAAGAAAGAAAGAAAG